GGCATTTAATATTCCCATAGAGAATCCATTTTTCATCACCGGTGACGATTCTGTCCAAAAATGGTTCACGCGCATTACGCGCCAAACGAGACGAACCAACGTTCACACGTTGGAAACGATGATCATAGGAGAGTTCGTGAGGCACCAAAACATCTTCTTTATGGAGTTTTCACATATTCCTTAGATGTTTACGTATTGTTTCATTAGAGACATGCAATGTCAGAGCCATTTCACGAGTGTGTTGCCTTGGGTTAGACTCAACAAGCGTCTTCATAGCATCAATATCAATTCCAACATGTCGGCCCCCTGTCATCACAGTTTGTAAGGCTAAAGCCACCTGAACGAAATTTGCTGAACCATCATTGACATTTACGAACCTTCAAAACATTTCCATAAACTTCTTTGATATTCTTTGTGGCTACAGAGGTGTTGTTTCCTTTCTTGTATTCAAACAGCATTACATGCCGAATGTGTGTCTCGTCTTTTGCCGTCACTATAACGGAATAGAGTATATACTATTATACGTGATGTACGTTTTTTTTTTTTGGGGGGGGGGGGTTAATGAAAGTGTTCCTAAACGCGACATTAATTTCTTGACGACCTAATACTTATTTACGAGACAAAACCTTAAAACAGCAGCAACAACAACAAAACAACTACACAGAATTAGGTTGCTGCAAGTGCTTGATATACTTGGCTGGTATCACATAAAAAGAAAAGCTCTTGTACGGCGGAAGATGGTCCCTGTTATTTAAAACCGCGTTTCTGAATGCTAAAGATTATTAACTATTTATTGGTTGATTATTATCGATAAATAGATTGTGTTGCAGTCTTACAAGCACAGAAAAACAGTAGAAACATATTTTAATGACACAAAAAGAAACAAAGAGTTACATCTGTAACATACTTTATTCTTCGTGAAATAATTATTTTTATGTGTAAGACTTCAATAATATATTTATTTTATTTAGCATGGAAATCCAGTTTCTTCTGTGGTATTTCAAGTTGTAATAGTGGTTATTAGTATCTGGAGTTGAGAATGTAAATTACTTTGTATAAATTAGAGTTTTACACTCGAATGGAATGCTGATTTGATCGTAACTAATATTAAATTCTTATCAACGCAAGCCACCTATATCGATCAGGTTAGAATGCACTGTTGTATCAGTTGGGTACCTTCGCTATTAATGATCTTTTTGGCTATAAACCCAATAATATCTCACAAGATTTGGCCAGCTTAAGAGATCTTTGTTATTCTCCAACCAACTAAACTAATAATATAAACTAATCCTCATAATGAAAATATATATAATAATACAAATGGAAAGTAATATATATATATAATATTCTAACCGTTACTATTAATGAAAGTAACGTTAAAGAAATAATTAGTATAACTTGCTTACTAAGTGTTTACGTATGTTCATCTACATCATTATATCTTTTTGTAACTACAAAACTGATTTTGACCTTTTCATATTTGGTTAGAGAGAATATTGAAGGCTTCACCTTAGGAGTATTAACAACTGTAGATGAACATCAAGAAAGGACACGTGTATGTGTCTTTTCTCACCAACGTACGATTGAAAAATATTAGATATACTGAAGACAAACTTGGAATGTGGGTAAGAATTTACAAATAATTTGTGTGAGATGTACAATTTCTAGGTCACAACCTAGTTGTTAATTCTTGTGTAAATGTCGTTCTCGTTTTTTTTATGTTTTGTGGTATTGTAACAATAAGACATGAATAGAATATTATCAATATATGTAATGCAATTTATGGATTTACTGTTGTAAATAAACTACATCCTCATAATTTTTCTTGTTTTTTAACAAAAATAGAAGCAACAAAAAACGGAGAGGGGCTTTGTCAGTAAAATCTCCCATTGTCTGTTAGAAGTGAACAGTTTATGAAATTAATTTTTATAGTATTCTGTACTGGAAGCGCATTTCTAATTCACTTTAAACAAACGCGTAGCCCCCGGTTGCTCATCGGGAATTCTGAGAGCTTACAACACTAAAACCCGAGTTCTGATATCCGCAGTGGGCAGAGCACAAGTTGTCCATTGTGTAGCTTTGTGCTTTACAACAAACAAACAAAACACAAACGTGTATATATATGTGTGTTTGTTCACATACATCCTTATATCGTTTTTGTAACTACAAAACTGATGTTGACCCTTTTTTATAAGCTCTTATTATGATTTATGATATTTGTTATAAAGTTAAACATCTGTCTTGATAAAATATACACCCCTCAAGTCCTGTAGCTTGATGATTTCCGATACTCCTTGTAACACTGTGTGTAGCTTCTATGTGCATCAGTTACAAAACAAAGATATATAGAAAAGAAGTTCAGGAGTCATTAACTTCGGGTTTGAGACAAATCAGACAACCAATTATTAAATCTTACTTGTTAACCAGCAACTATGTTGTGAATTACTACTATAAACGCAAGTGACAGACAACCAATTATTAAATCTTACTTGTTAACCAGCAACTATGTTGTGAATTACTACTATAAATGCAAGTGAATGTGTTAGTTAATACTGGTGGCTTGCTTCGTATTGAATTTATCCAAAGATATCTGGCAGCTTGTTAAGTTTTAATGTTCGAGGTTCTTGGGGATTACAGATATATTTATCTGTTTTATATAGGAAGGAGGTTGCTTTATAGGTGATGGCATTCTTTTTATCAAAACTTTGATTATGATTTATAGTATTTTTTATAAAGTTAAACATCTATCTTGATAAACTCCTACACCCCTGAAGTTCTGTAGCTTGATGCTTTCCAATACTCTTTGTAATACTGTGTAGCTTCTAAGTGCATCAGTTACAGAACAAAAATGTTTATGATATTTGCAATCCGTGATTCAAAGACCGAATTTATGTTTTGTTTTCAGCTGTTTCTATAATTTCACTAATCCTTTATTTCGGATAAAATTCGAAAGAATTCTCGAGCGGCAACGTTTTTTTGTTCGTTAAATTTAGTTGAAAGCTCATCGACTAATTTAGAAGTGATAGATTAGAAGGAAGGCAACTAGTCAACATTACACAGCGCCAACTCTTGGGCTATTCTTTAGTCACGAATAGTGGGATTGATCGTCATATTACAATGCCCTTACGGCTGAAGGACGAGCATCTTCGGTGACGAGATTCGAACCCGCCGCCCGCAGATTCTGAGTCGAGTGCCCTAGTACCATGTTATGCTAGACTTTGCAACGTTTGAGTGCTGGTATTGACTAATTTGTTGTGGATACGTTGTTTCTGCCTATGTTTACGAACAATGTAAAATTTACCATTATGACTTCAACGTTTTATGTAGTGGCTAATATTTGTCCGTTGATTATATGACGCATAATAAACAGGACCTCCAGGGTATAACAATACCTGCCATTTTCTCATGCAGTATAAATGAGATCCAAAAACAACGAGGTTCCATTGTGATTTGGTGTTTACGGAACGTTTGGGTAGTGTTTATTTTAGATCAGATGCATTCATTCGTGTTACTAAACAAATAAGGGGCGTTTTTAGCAGTTCCCATAATATTAAAATTATGTTCCAAGTATATTTAATTGTTTTATTTGTGTATGATAGTTCATACCACGTCAGTAATTCTTTTGTGTGTCTGTGTGTAACTATATATATATTTATATATGACAAGAAGATTGATGACACATATCTCACCTGTTTGTTGTATTCAGAATGTTACCCATCGTACAATTTTAATTTAATCACTTGATGACAAACATACGAGTTTCATGCCTTGTCAGATATATCGCTGAAAAACGTGAAAATTGGTGTTCATAATTCTGCCTGAACTGTAACTAATCGTTTATTTTTATGATTTAGTTTTTTATAAATATTTTAAACAAAATAAGCATGTGATGTTTATACACTGTTGTAGTCGTTACCTTTTGTGATGTTTCAGTTCACATACATTCGACAATTTGATCATGTAAGGAAACTTAGCAGGCTATGTACGCATTATTGTATCGTATTTTACAACTGTATTCCTATACTATGGACGAGTCAGTAGTTTTACACAATGTTCACGATTTGATTTCATGCCTAATACTGGTTGCTTGGCTTTTTCTGTTCTCGAATCAGCAAATTTTGTAGGAAAAAAAAGAGAGAAAAAGGTGCATTGAAACTGTTGAATATGTTAAAGCTTTGAGTATGTGAAGTTTTTGTTGTTCAGTTCAGAAGTCACGCCATGTAGATCCTGTTTAATATCGATCCATGTTAGTAACTTCCTTCTACAGTTTCACGTATTTCTTAGAAACGATATGTAAGTATATTATGAAAATGAGTGAAATGGCCTTTAAATTACAAGTCCCCCCCTCACCTATCTGGTCTGTGTAACACGTAATGTATACCATCAAAATAAATACTTTTTATAAACTCAGTGTTGAAAAAAACCAAAACGACTTCTGTCATCCTTGGGAAAATAACGACTTCTGTCATCCTTGGGAAAATAATACTGTTCGAAATAAATCTGATTTTTAACAAATATTTTGCACATAATCCTTGTGCAGCAGGCATGTCATTATTCATGTCTTGTCACACTTTTATTTTTATCTTTGCTAGAATTACTTTAGGTATTGGACCCGGCATGGCCATGTGGTTAGGGCGCTCGACTCACAATCTGAGGGTCGTGGGTTCGAATCCCCGTCCCAGCAAACATGCTCGCTAATCCCACTATTCGTTGGTAAAAGAGTAGCCAAAGAGTTGGCGGTGATGACTAGCTGACTTCCTTCTAGTCTTTTACAGCTAAATTAGGGACGGCTAGCGCAGATAGCCCTTGTGTAGCTTTGCGCAAAATTCAAAACAAACAAACTTTAGGTATTGGTTATATGCACTTTTCAAGAACCCCATCCCATTAAGGAGGTAGATCTTTATTTTGGACTCTGTTTTTAAACCTAGGCAACTTTTGGGTCGTTTCTTTAGAAGTAGACAAGTGCATATTCTACTTTACACTACAATCAAATGTTTATTCATACTTCAACTTTTTAACAAGCAGCTGTATATTTATTTAGATTTTTTTTTACGTCTTATGTTATCGAAAAGACTGCGAAGTATTTACCTACAAAGGAAATGACAGTAGTTTTTTCTCATAAAATACAAAGCTTTTATGAGCGCCACCTTAAAATTAAAAGACGAACATAAAGTTACTGTATTTAAATAAAAGACTCTTGCAGGGACACCTGTCTTAAAAATAACACACTCTGATATTTGATACAGTATGGCTTATTGAAGCATAAGAACCTCTAAATACGCATAGCATGTAAATTAAGGAAAATATGATAATGTTAACATGTTTCAATCATCTTCCTTCAACTAATTCATACACTCGAAAAACTCGTTTCGGTGGTGGCAGATGTATAACTTTATTAATATCCTGCATACGAAATTTCTTTTTGTCTTTAGCAAGTGACTCATAATTTTTTCTACTTATGAGCAGGTATGTTCTAATGATACATGGTGTATTCCTGAGATGTACGTAAAAAGGAAAAAAAAAATCCCTAATGAGTGAAAAAAAAAAAAAAATACTGTAGCAGATGTGCCCGCAGTGGCACAGCAATGAGTCTGCGGACTTATAACACCAGAAATTGGGTTTTCGATAGCGTTGGTGGGCACAGCAGAGATAGCCCATTGTGTAGCTTTGTGCTTAACTACAAACAAACAAAACTGTAGCAGGTGTTTTCAAACTGCGAGTCACAACCCCTTGTGGGTCGCAAATAAAAAGTTGAGGACTTAAAAAGATGCAAAAAATATCATAGAATTTTGTAAACGTAAATACTGGTATTGGGATTACGGCCGAAAATATCGATAACAGCGAAAATACCCATTGCTTTTTTTTACATTTCCCTGTTAGATCGGAACACTAGTTACATTATTTATTTTGTACGAGGCTTGCTTTAATCGGAAGTTATTGATATATAATCGAAAAATAGTTGCTTCCATTTCTTAACCTCTTTATTTTCTGATTATTCTACATGCCCTCTCCCCTTCCTACCTCGTTTTTAAGCATCCTATAAGTTTTGTGATTGAATACTGTATTCTTAGACTATTATTATTTTATACAATAGTACTTGTTCTCTGTCGACCTTTTGTTAACTGACTGGGGAAATCTTGTGTTATTCACCTTCACAAAATAGTGAAAAGAGTATGAGAACCTTTGCCCTGTAGCTTTTCTAGGCTTTATAAAAGTTC